TTTCCCCCACCCCCGCCTCCTTCCAGGGCACTGGCGTGGGTCCTTCGCCGTCCGGCGGCGACTGTAAATAGAGCCTGGATGTTGTTTACATGAAGGATCCGGCGGGAGGAGTCTGCGAGGAGGTGGCGGCGGCGGCGGCGGAGGAGGAGGAGGAGGGAGGGCGGAGAGAGGAAGACCGGAGTCCCCGCGGCGGCGGCGGCGGTCCGGGGTGAGGGTGAGCCCCGCGCGGCGCGGGGACCGGGCGCTACCACGAGGCCGGGAAGCCGGACCCTGGGGTAGGAGGGAGAAGGGGCGCGGGGCGGGAAGAGGGGGCCTGTAAGAGTGGCATTTTGAGCTTACAACCTGCCACGCAGATTCTCCGGGGCGAGAGGGGAGGGGTGTGCGGGGAGGGCAGGGAAGCCTCGATTTCTCTGCACGTTCATTCTCGCATCTCCAGTCTTTTCCCGCTTCCTCTCGGGGGTCACCTGTTTATTTCCATCAGCCAGAGCTTGCAGTCTTTTTTTAATGTAGGCATGAGACGCTATTTCTTTTATTAGAAACACTATTGGGGAAGGGGGTGCGTGGCTGTAATTTATGCCGGTCCCGGTCGGTTTTCAAGAAGGGGGAGGGGACTTGGCGGAGACCGTCGGCTCCCGGCGGTAGCTGACCCCAGGGCTTCTCCCTGCCCGTATGGGCTGGGGAATCTTTTCCCTCACTCAGCTACCCGCAGGCCAGCTGCCACCTTCTTGGAGAAGAACCACACCTGTGCTTATTGCTCGCTTTGGAGGAGAGGTGAGCTGAGAAGCCGGGGAATCTTCTGTTCCTCAGAACTCTTAGCTAATCCTCCCATCCCAGAATTGGCCAGAAAGTGCCGTTTTCACCTGCTAATTGCACCGGGCACATCCATACCCCCACCCCATCAAGTTGTGGTCCACAGATGTGTTGGGATTTTTCTCTTGCCTCTGAACCTGCACCCCACCAACCAGCAACTAACTGCTGGTTTTAGATTGAGAGAAAGGTAACCGCCTTCGGCTTAGTACGCGTTCTTTATTCCCCACTGGATCTTCCAAAGGAATCTTCTCTCTCCCCGCAGACCCCTTCCAAGAGCTTAGCCCAGAATCTGGCCTAAGCAGCCAGTCTCTGGCTCTCTTTTCCTGGGCCCCACCCTGGCCCCTCTTGGTTCTCCACAGCCAAACGCGCCTCCCAAGCAGAAGGCACACCCTGCTCTAAATCTAACCATTCCAAAAGGGAGAAGAAAACAGTTGAAGAAAAGGGACCCAGGGGTCTTCTTTCTGCCCTCAGTATCCCCAGCAGCATTTCCCTCTTCAGTTCTCCTGGATTTATAATCCTTTATTCTTCTTGTCAGCTGCTGCTACCTCTTTGCCCCTATTTCTGTGATGGATCTTTGGGGAGGTGGGGATAGGAGGGTGGAGAATGGTTGTCACCCCTTTTCCCTAGTGTGAGGAATTTTCCTTGTCTTTTCATTTTTGAGATGCTTAAGAAGTAAAATATGTAAATATGTTTGCATGCTTACTTGAACTTATTTTCCTGCTGGTTAATGAATAGCTGGGACTTAAAAGGGTGGGAGGGGAGTGATGTGAAGTGCACATTCCCCCTGGTGTCCCCCATATGAGCATCCCCATAGTTGCTGGAGAAGACCCTTCTGGGAAAGCCAACAGTCTCCCTTCTATGACATCACCACCTAAGCCCTTCCAACTTTAGCTTCAGAACAGGAAGAAGGCTCAAAATAGAACTACCTTAGGAATTCAGCTCCTTTTAGAAGATCAACTGTTAAATCAGCCACAGGAGGAACCCTGAACTTTGACATGGGGAGAGAAAGCTGTAGTGTTTGAAATCGGTTCCTTTGGGGGTGGGTAGGGGGATACTTTCCATGTATATTCAGAAAAGCTTTTCTCAAGATACGGTGAGTTGGGTACCTAGACCAATGAATGATTAATAGGATGGTTTGAGATTCATTTTTTGAATTATTCATATGTTTTGGTATGTCAACAATAACAAGCACTTTTCAGGATGAATTAAAGGCATGTTCCTAGAGTGTGTTCTGGAGAATTTGCTAGAGATAGAGAAGGCTCTTGGGGGGAGCTAGGAGGGAGGACCTGAAGGCGAGGACTCTGAGGATGCAGTGACAGCTGCTGTGAGTTTGAAATTGAGAGGCTTACTGTAAACAACGACTAACTTTTGCCGGGTGATTAATATCCTGGACAAAGAAGTAATGATACCAGGATTTCCTTACCTTTACATCAAAGAATAACTCTGAATCTTTGAATCATGGTGTCTCCCATTTTTTCCCCCTGAATTGTCTGAGCTGAAAGATTGTTCAGCCTTTAGGAAGAGCTGCTTAGTAAGTGATCATCACTTAAGTACTAACAACTGAAGGATCAGATGTAGGGAGAAAATACTTGGCATAATTTGAGTGCCTAGTGGGTGCTGTAGAATGACTTGCTGGGTGAAGGGTTCCAATTTGAAAGAATCCAGATGATAGAGACAGGGCTCTCTGTACCTGCATTAATACTGTAGCCATTAGCCACGTGTAGCTGTGAAGCACCTGAAATCTGGCTAGGGTGATGATGAACAGGTTGTAAATTTTTACTTAATTTAAAAAGTTGATGTTTGACTCAGGTTATTGGAAAACTTCATTATGTTTGAAAACAGCTTGGGTATATGCATCTACTTTTTAAGCTATAAATTTTATGAAATCTAAATACAGATTATTTCTGATGAAAATTTAGTGTCCAAATTGAGATGTGTTGTAAGTATATAATACACTCTGAATTTCAAAGACTCAGTACAAAAAAAGAAAGTAAGTTATCTTATTAACTTCTTATGTTAATTACATGTTCAAGTGATAGTATTTGGGGTATATTGCATTAAATGAACTATTGTTAATGTTAGTTTCACCTGTTTAGTTTTTTTTTTAATGTGGCTACCGGAGTATCAAAAATTACATACGTGGCTTACTTTTTACTTCTCTGGGACAGCACTACCCTATAACGTTGCTCCTTTTCCTTCCTGAATTAATTTCGAAAGAGGTGACTGCATGAAACACTTATTTGATGTTTGTCAACCATTTACTTTCTGCTCCGATTTTCCATGTAGAGATTTGGGGACCCAAGATGTACTGTTACAATACAGCCGACCTAAGAGTGACTGCCCTGTAGATTTCTTCGCAGGAGTCGTGCCCTGCTTGGGAAGGTCAATAACAATGGCCAGGGCACTGGAAGGGGTATCATGGGAAAACTTAGGGCCCCACATATCTGGCTAGAGCTGCTTTTGTGAAAGGTTCCTGGGCATACCAAAATATATCCGAGAACAGTATCTGGCACAGTGACAATCAAGACGCCTGGTGACATCTAGTCATACCACTCACCTTTGTTTATCTTCTCTTTCTCTGCATCCAGTTTCTGCCGCCTACATCATAGCTCCACTGGTGGTCAGCCCACCAAGTTGCTGACCCCTTTCCTCCCAAAAAAGGGTACACTGCTGACCTGAATGGAGACGTTACTGTCTTTGGGGTTTGGTTTTGTCTAACGAGCCTCAGTCATGGTGCTGAAAGGGACTTGGGCATTTAGTACTACCCTCTCATTTTATAGATGAGAAACTGTTGAGTGCCTTACCTGTAGACATGTAGATGGAGGAATTAAACATAAACTTTTGTTGATAACCTGTTTAGAGAATCCCTGTGAAATGAATTCAGTCGCATATTTGTTGAGATTGCACTTTGTGGAAGCGACTGTGATACATGTTGTGAAGGGACATAAAACAGTCAGACTTTGGGAACAATACTGTTGATCTGAGGATATAAGATGTAAACAGTGCCAAATTAAATCACAGTTTAAGAGACAGCACTTAATGAGTACAGTACCACTGTTACAGTAGAATTGTGTTCCTTTTCCAGATGTAGGAATGGAAGCTGAGAATGTTGGACTCTGCAGAAAAGAGGAGTGGGATTGTGTTTCTGGAACAGCTCAAGGCTCTAAAAGTGGAGGTCAGTGCAAGTCTTTGGTATTGCCCCCTTCAGCAGTCCATTGAGGGGATTTGAGAACTAAGAGCCAGCATTTTTAAACGGCAGTGCTGGCAGTTATGAGGAAATCATAGATTCATTGGAGGTGGCCGGGGCTTTTAGAGATGGTTAGCTAGGGGTGGATCGTTTAGAAGTCAGCTGGTGTATTTTTGGCTGGTTATTCTGAAAGGGTGCAGTAACAGAATAAAACTTACTTGTGAGCAGACTATGAAATCCAAAATCTGGGGGTAAAATTAACTCTACAGCAAAATCTAAAAGTAAAACAACTGTGGAGTAGACAGTTGGACTAAAGTATGTATGCTGAGTACATGTGTAAAAGGGGAAAGGTCCATAGTGTGGAATATTATATTCTACTAAATACTAAATGGATAGTGCATTTATTTGTAAATTTTTAGTCTCTTGGAGCCTTTTTGAACTGAAAGCCCCAGCAGCATTGGATGAGAAAGTTTGTTCCTCTCTCTCTCTCTCTCTCTGCGTTCTTGTGTACATACCTTCTGTATCAGGTTTTTGCTTTTACACGGGCCCGCTGAGGTTCTACAGCACGACTGTTCAGAGGCCAGTGCGTGGAATGGGTAAAACAGTGTCACCCCCTCTGTAATTACTCCCAGTTAATGCTTTTCTGTGAGAATTGGGGCTGACTTGGCACAAGGGCGTCGTCCTTGGCTTTTCCTTGTTGTTTTAGCCAATTTATTTCTCCTAGAGAGAAAAATATGTGTAACCCCCTTACTCCAGGTTTCTTACTGATCTTGGCACAAGTTAGTTTTTAAACGCTGTTAACAGCGAAGCTTTGCAGTAAAATGCAGGTATACGTTCTCTGTACTTCTGACAAAAGTAGTAGTTGACATTTGGCATCTTCTGTTGACAGTAAGTTTTTAGTAACAAGACAGTTGGGTCAAATTTGCACTTTTTATAATGTCATTCAGTTGCATTGTGGTTTTCAAGTTGGGGAAGAAAAAAATTGCTCTTTAGTGAAAGACCAGTGGATTTAAATTAAACAGCCTGGGGTCATAGGCATTGCCCTTGTGTCTTCCCTATATTTTGTGATCCAAAAATAAATTATTTTTAAAGGAAAAATTAATTAAACAACCTATTTTAACTATTTTACTTTTAAAGTATTTCAGATATTTTGCATGCCGGCAGCTCATTTCATGGTTCCTCCAGCTATTTAATATATAATCAGATACTTAAAGGCTTAAGATCATCGTATTTTCACTTGAAGTCTGTAGGTAAGAGAAACGTGACGTGTTTTTGCTGCGTGCATTTGTATGCCACAAGATCGAAAAGCACGTTTTTTGTATACCAGTTTGCTAGAAGTACTTGATTTTCTAGATAATAGTATGTAGTGCATGCGTCATGAAGAAATTGTTCTCAGTTGTATCATTTTTCTCATAGAAGAACTGAGTTTACAATTGGTTTGTTCTCTGGAGGAAAGCATTTTATATCACTTTTCTCTCTCTTACTATGCAGTATCCTTTCGTACTGTAGCATGAACACCTGCAGTCACTTGTTTTAAAATTAAAATGATTCCATTTTTGTAAGAAAAATCTGTTAAAAAATAAATGTTTCTGATTTAATTTTTTTTAAAAACGTACATTTATAGGGAGTAATTTCCAAGAAGAGATAAAACATATTTTAAAGTGTTTATTAGTATTTATAAAATACAATTCTGAAAACCCATATTTTCCTTCCTTGAAACTACTTTAGAATTATTTTGAGAAAATACCCCTTTATTCACAGAATAATGGCAGTCTGCTTTTTTTTTTTTTTTTAATTTCTTGGCTCCTGTCACCCCCTCAATTTAGGTAGAAAAATGGAGAGAAAAAGAAAGAAATAAAGGAAATACTCTTTACTTTTGGACCAAAAGTCTTTAGTTGTCTGACTTTTGGTCATGGCTAATGGAGTGAATTTCAACTTTGCAGTACATTATGTTTGTATGTGTGGACTTCATGTTTTAGACATTCAGTTGCCCTAGTACTCAGTCTTAGTGGAGAACAGTCTGATTACTAAGTATATCAGAATTATTTGTTCCTTTATGTACCTACCCTCTGGTATCTCAGAGTTAAGTATTCATCTTTTCCAAAGGCGACAGAACTTGTGGCTGAGAAGTGTTAGATGGTAATCTTTTTATCCTTTTCGATGGATCAGCTATCTAAAATTTTATTCTCAGATAATCGCTGTATCTTTGTTCATGTAACAGATGTTTATAATTTGGGTGAAAATGTGCAACTATTTCCAGGAAGCTTGAGTTAAGGGATCCAATTTTTTTTTAAATCTTCGTTGCCCTCTCGTGTTTCAACTCTGTTATTACATCAGTTGGCTAAGACCTAGGCAGTGACCTTTTTAACTTTTAGATGTTTTTGCACTTTAGAGAATGTTGTTTTAATTTGTGTGTAGGTGGATTATTTCATAGGATCTTTTCTGAGGATAAGATCGGTTTCACAGTGCTTAAAGTTAACAGTTGAGCTAGGCTCACTGTACTCTCCTATTTTCTGACCTCTGCTGATTTAAAGAATTAATTCTTCTATCTGTCTTACCTGAAGTACAGTGCTAATATCTCATTTGCATATAATGAGTCTTTGAGCAAATACCTAATTGAAAACATAATTATTTTTCAAGTATCTGTTAAGTTCCACGCATATTGAAATGACTTGAGAACTTATGACTGACATGGAAAAAAAAATGAATGAATCATGGCTTTAATAAGTTGATATTTTGAAGCCCGAATTCTAGTTTCAGAATTTTTTTTGTACTTTTTATAAAAAGTAAGAATCATCCCTGAAATGATTTCAGGTTACATCTCAAAGGTACGGATAATTTCAAAGTAAGTGATGTGTATATGTTGATTTTTTAATAGGCATTCCAAAGGTTGTTAACCATCCTTACCGTAACTGTAGGACTGACATTGACTATAGTGGAAAAACACCCCACAGGTGTGCTATAAATACGTAATCATCATCAGTGTCATCAATTTGAATACATTCTTGGCACTCAGAGCAAGAACAGTAAGTCATTTTTTTTGCTCAGGTGTATTCTTAAATTGTAGAAACCCCATACATGTTTGCTTCATGATCTGAGATACTGAGAAAACTAAAAATTTTAAGCAAAAAGTAGATGTTTTCAGGAATCTTTTTGTTTGCATAAATTGTATAGACTGAATATCCAGTTGATGGGGTTGAATGGCTAGGTCAGGGGAGAGAAAAAAGCCCTAGGTTCAATTGTTAGACACGGATTTGAACCCAGGTTCGGTGTAACTTAGTGATATGACCAGATGAATCACCTATCCTCTCTTAGGTTTTTATTTTCTTTCTGTCAAATGGGCTCATGCCTAATTCTGGAATCCTTTTGTGATGAATTAATGAGTAATTTATTGACAACCCCCTAGGTTCTTGTGAAAACCAAAGGAAAACGCACATAGAAGATTACTGAATGTTAAGTAGACGTGAAGTATTACTGCCCTGTTTTATTATGAGCACTTTGAGAGCAGGGACTATGTCTTATCTTCATTTCCTGAACATCCAGAAGAGGTCTTGGAACATTGATAAATACTTGCTGCATGAATGGCTGAGGTCAGGGAGAGGGAGTCAGCGAATCCAGGCAGGGGAGAGATGACACTGTGAAACAGAGCTGGGAGGCGTAGTTGATGTATTAGTGGTTGCTTATCATTAACATGTATACATCGTGTGTTCACCTTGCGTCTTATATAATTCAACTGGGTCTTTTACTGTTTCAGCCTCACCACTTGCTGGGCTGTGACCCTACTTTTCCTTCTGCTTCCCCACATCCTGAACCAGAAGGGGACCTTTTAGTCCTTCACTTCGTGGGGCACCTTCAGAGGGAGTCACACAGCCACCCGGGAAGGATGCTGCCGGCCGACATGGTGACTGACAGGCTGCCCTGGCTCAGTTATCACAGTGCTGATGCTGTCCATTCTAAAGGTACAGTACTGTGATAACTGAAGGATGGCAGCCATCTTGCCTTCCACGGAGGAGCCCCGCCGTGCCGGGAAGGAGGACGCGAGGCCCAGGCGGGAGAAGCGGTGGCGGGAGCCCTCTTGCCCTGTGCCTGTATTCTGCCTCTCCCTGAGCGCAGGGGACGTTGTTCCACCTGTCTTTGTCTTCTGTGATAGGAGGGTGAAGAGGAGTTGGGTAGATGTTGGCTCTGTTGGGCTGAGCGGAAGTATCATTAAGATCTTCGGAATTTTCAGGTGGCTGATACTAGATAAGTGCTAAGTGTGGATTAGTATTTCTGGAGTGGTATTCCGAGAAAGTTGGGCCACTTAGAAATGTAAAAAGCAACCCGATTAAAATAGCTTGATGCTTGTGAATTTAGATGTTCAAAATGAAATTCAGCTTAAGCAGGGAGAAAAAAGCCCTACGTGTTGAACGGTATTCATGTAATTGCATGAACAGAATTACATCTTTGTGTTTAAGGAATGGATGGGGACATGGCATGTTTCTTTCAGTAACAAAAAATATTTAGAAACTAGTCTAACTCAAAAAATATTTGATGAATGCCCATGTTATTGCTGCTGTCACCTTTACATGAAAGTAAAATGTGTGTAAATAATTTTCCTGTGGTCAAATAATTAAGGGGGTGGGTATAGCTCTGGTAGAGTGCCTGCTTAGCATGTGTGAGATCCTGGGTTCAATTCCCAGTACTTCCATTTAAAAAAAAAATTAAGGACTGTTTTGTGATGACATCTAGAACAAATCCATTTCAGGGATATGAAGCTATAAATACCAACCCACCATCAGGTGTGCGTAAAAGACTAGGAAAATTAGCAGAGTGAGCATCTTCAGCCTGTACTGTGCAGGGTGCGTTTGGGCTTAGAGGTGGGATTATTAGAGTACCCAGGGTTTCCCACAGCCTTCCTCCCTGAAGACTCCCAAGGAAGCTGTACACGTGGACCAGCAGCAGACAAGACGCAGGGTACACGACTTTATTATGTGTTAGATCATAGTCCATTGCAAGGCTTGGATCATTTCATGTAGTTCAGGCTCTATACCTTAAACAGACCTCTTGACTTCTCCCCAGGCTCACATGTGTACCTGGGAACCTTCCCGCCCTGTGGGTAGCCGACTAGTGTAGGAACCCAAAGCAGTGGGCAAGGAGAGAACAGGGCCTGCTGAGGTCAGGACCTGCCTACACAGGGCAGGGAGAGCCCGGGAAGGAGAACAATGTGTGTGACCCTTTAATGTACAGAGACATTACCCACTAATCAGCGCAGCCCAGTTAATGTCTTCAGCCAGTTTTATTGTCAGGTTTGTCACGGGGAAAGAATACAGAAGAAGAAAGGGAACTGGGAGCCAGGAGGGAAGCGAAGCGTTGCCTCCCGTCCAGAGAGGTTCGGTCTGCCCCTCGCCGTGCCATCGTCAGACGTTGCAGGTCATCGTGCTCCTCCGCTGGTTCGCACAGTTCTCTGACCTCTCTGCCCCGTTCTCCACCCGGAGGGGGCCCTTTCCTGGAGGAACCCCTTGAGCCACACCTGCTTGGCCCTGAGTTGCTTTCCTCGTAGCATTGATCCCATTACAGCCCAGGGCCTTCACGTGTCCTCATCCACTCAGGGCTTCTCTGAACTGCAGGCTCGACTGTGGTTTTGATTAGTTATGGGGAGGGCTGGCTCTGCCCAGTTGTGAATTTTACTCCCAGTCCTGAAAGTCCTTGGAGTTTCCTGCTCCCATAAACAGAAAAGGAATTTCTGACGGAAACCCTGGAAGAACTTCTGAGAAAGGAAAGTTTGGGGATTGGTGAGTTCTCAAGTAACTTGAAACACTCCTAATTTTTAGTGTTATAGCAGGTGGAAAAAACTGCTTCAGGGAGTGATGTGTTGTGCAGTCGTTGGCCTTGGTGAGGATTTCTCCACCTTCCCTGGTCTTCCTGTTTTCCCATTACTAGTTTTATTTTATCAGGTTTTATACTTACCGGACCTTGACCCCCCAGTTCCACAGCCAAGCCTGTGGGCTGCTGCAGAGCGGAGTGTTAGGTGTAGTTTGGAGTCACTCCTGCATTTCTGCAGAAAGAGCCATACTGGGTCCCATTTTCTATCAACAGGAAAGCCTGGGGCTCAGTCTGTGGCAGGAGCACTGGAAGGCTTGCCTGGGCCTGGAGATCCCTGGCACTTTGGGACAGTTCATAGAGTTAAGGTGTTCCAACAGGTTAAGTGAGAGGTGATTCAAGAGAAACCTGATGGGGTTTTTCCACCTTTGTTTAAAACATACATGCATACAGTATGCTTTTGGTTGGTGTAGTCACTGTATTCTTCGGTTTAGAGATGTAAGAAAGGGAAGATGAATTAAACATAGAAATACCCTATGATCCAGCATTTCCACTTCCGGTCACATACCCAGGTGAATGGTCTCAGATACTTGTGCACCAGTGTTCACAGCAGCATCATTCAAAAGAGCCAGAAGGTAAAAGCAGCCCAAATGCCCATCGATGGTTGTATGGCTAGATGAAGTGTGTATGCCTACAACGGAATATTATTCAGGAAGAAAATTCTGACACCTGCTACAACATGGATGGACTTGGACGATAGCTAAGTGAAATGAGCCAGACTCTAAAGGACAAATAGTGTATGAGTCATAGAAGATTCCTAGAGTAGTCAAATTCATAGAGTCAGAAAGAGGAAGGGTGGTTGCCCGGGGCTGGAGGAAAGGGAAATGGGAAGTTTGTGTTTAATGGGGAAGATGAAAAAATTCTGGAGTTGGATGGTGTTGGTTATACAATGTGAAAGTACTTGCTGCCACAGTACTGTACACTTAAAAATGGCTAAAGTGGTAAATTTTATGTCATTTTACCACCCCACAAAAGAAAGCATTTCAGGGTAATAGCATTGTTGCAGCCAGCAACAGAATTGAGTTTATTGCTCTCTTCTTCAGACGGTCTTCAGTGTGAAGATAATCACTGTTTCAAATAAGTAATTAAAAAGTAATTCCCATGTCTTTATGTGTTTAAAGTTCTGTAATATGTAGAATGTTAAACATTTTTCCAGGGTTTCTGACATAGCGTAGCTTTAAAGTTTTGTAAACTATGAGAAGTATATTAACAGTACTAACTCAACAAGAAGGCAGGTGATGGAGCATCTCTTTCTGGCTTTGTGCCTTTTCTGGTGAAGCTGAGTGACTTACGGAACCTTCCCATGCTCCAGATGCCTCAGTTGCCTACTCTCTGGAATCGTGGTAAAGATGGAATTTTACTTTTACATATATATAGTTTGTATCATAGGAATTACACACACACATACACACACGTATATGTGTGTGTGTATGACCATTTTGATGTCTAAAGCAGCATTCAAGTGTGGCGTATTATTTCTTATTCTCAAAAATGTAGAAATACAATGTCTGAAAAGAATAGCATTAGTAGTTTTAAAAAGCATCCTAATTAGACTTGTAACTCAAAGTATCATGGGCCTTATTATAAAGAGCATTCCCTAGCTTGCTCTCAATCACGAACGGTTTGTGTTTGTTATTACATGCTGAAGTTTGAAAATGAGGAAAGTAAAAGCATAGAGACTAGAAAAAGATAGCAATAAACCTTCTGTAAAGGACTGCATGTTTCACTAGCCATGAGTAAAAAGTGTTCATTTGTGGACCCTGGCTACTTCATCACAAAGCTCTCACTTGGTGGTGTGCTCTGGAAATCAGATTTCAGTTGTAGGAACTGCCCGCCCGCCCCCCCCCCCCCGATCCCGTGCAGTAGTCTGCCTTGATTAGAAAGTAAGCTATCATCCCTGCCATGCCAATTTCAAATATTTTGCTGTGTCTCATACATTTTGAGCTTCCCTGAATAACCAACCAACTATACATGTGCCACAAATTTGTCTGATTTTATTAAGCTGATTTGTTTCTTCCAAATCAATTGCTTTTTGAGAGAACAAGATTCTTTTTAAAAAATTTTTATTGAAGTGTAATAATTACAGTGTGTCAATTTCTGGTGTACAGCACAATGTCCCAGTTTTATATATATGTGTATGTTTTTATATTCACTTTCATTAAAGGTTATTACAAGATATAGAATATAATTCCTTGTGCTATACAGAAGTTTGTTTTTTATCTATCTATATTTATACTAGTTAATATTTGCAAATCTCAAACTCCCAAATTTATTCCTTCCCACCCCCTTTTCCCCAGTAACCATAAGATTGTTTACTATGTCTGTGAGTCTGTTTCTGTTTTATAGATGAGTTCATTAGTGTCTTCCTTTTTTTTCTTCTTTTTAGATTCCACGTGTGAGTGATACCATAATGTATTTTTTTCCCCCTCTTTCTGGCTTACTTCACTTAGAATGACAATCTCCAGGCCCATCCATGTTGC